TATATATATATATATATATATATATATATATATATATATATATATATATATATATATATATTCTACATTGTGTGTGAAAATCCAAATATTTATATTTGAAGACCAAACCAATAAGAATGACCAGAGCGAGGTGCCAATGTTGCCCACAGACGTTACTTTTGCTTTACATATAAAACACTCGTGACACACTTTGCGGTTCTCTCTCTTCAGGTCGCGATACATCGATTACATATATGATCGCATAACTTACTGATTTGTTACCGAGCTGTCGCACTTTACACGGCAGGTAAGCATGAGTGCCCAACTGCGCCGTGATATTCGTTGGAGTGTTCGAGTCGAAGTAAGGCCCCGTGTAAATCCCGTCGAACCTCTTCACCAACGAATGGGATCTCGTGCTCACCCCTGAAAATACCCAAAGTATCTGTCGCGTGTAACAGCGCTGTTATATTGCGATCGGTTACGTGCGATCCACGCGCGACTCGTAGAAACTAGAAACAGTCGCAATGCGGGATAAACGAGAGAGACAGAGAGAGAGACAGAAAGTGAGAGGGAGAAAAGAAAAGAGAGAGGAGAGAGAGAAATGACGGAAGGACATATATTTTCCCGTGGCGAGACATCGCGAATGCGTGAAACGCGCGAATTACCGACATTGCATCCTTAAAACATAACCATAACTCGGCCATGTCGTCGTCGTAGCAGCCCCGTCGGCGGCACGTTATGCGGCAAATTAACATGGAAGAAGCGACGTTAGCGTCGCAATGGAATAATAATAAAGCGACGAGCTATACCCCCGCGCTCAAGAAAGGGACTATTCCGCATTCGTGCGTCGTATTCGCTCGTTCGTGCACGCCGCTATTCAGAATAAATCCTATCGGAGGTCCCGTCGTGGCGCCGTGCCTGAGGGAAATGGATACTAATCCCAGGGATTTCGATCCGGGAAATCTAAAGGCGGATCAGAGGATTCGGGAGGAGAGCGAGAGACAGATGGATAGATAGAGTGTTGGGGAGAAAGAAAGAGAGATAAAGAAAAATGCGTGGGCGTCGTTCCAACGACCTTGAGGATACCACATCCGATCTGATGTTGGATCGGCAGCACGCGCAATAATGTTTGGTCCGGATTCGCACGATCGTTATGGTGACCGTAATTGCGAAGCGATTGCCAGGCGCTGGCTAAACGTAAAGAACGACGTTCCCAGTCATGACAAGGAAGAACGCTCGGGATTTCTGGTGTGAAGAAGCAGAACTTGGCTCAAGTCACCGCTTTGACAAATGCGATTTTCAAACTTTATCGTTTGCTCTCGCGAGAACGCATTCGTTTGTTAAGCTGAAAGTCCGGGAAGGACCAATACCCGGACGCGTGCCTGATCCTGGATATTCTTCTTGTTCTGGCCTTCAAATATCTAAACTTTCAACATAAAGTACATATGCATATATTATATGTTGTCAAGTTTCGTATTTAAAGACCGAAACAATAGGAATGTCCTGTCTAGGAATTAGTGCCCTTATCTTACCGGATCTTACTTGTGACGTCTGACTTACTTACGTCGATTCAATTCTTCCCCTCGGCTCTCTGACCCATTTTGTCACTGGATTAATTAGCGGGGATCCGCGCATGCATCGTGTGTAATTAATACCTCCCGCGCGTTGCCACTGCGAGTTACGTAAGAAGGGAGCATGTGTCTCGTCGCGTTATCAAGATCCGCCGAAACTTTGACAAACAACAAAGGTGGCGATAATTACGCTTCATTAAGATCCCCAGGCATGATAAGGCCCGACGCGATAAGGCGTAAATATGAAATCGCCTGTACATACGATGCAATATACGGGCACATCGTAGCGCACGCGGCGGCGGCGGCGGCGGCGGCGGCGGTGGCGGCGGTGGCTCGGCTTATCGCGCATCGATTGTTCTACTTACGCGCAAGAAAATCACAGCCGCTGCAACAGCGATAATTATTGTTTCAGTCAGGCTAAATATGGAGCAATGAATCATAAATTAATCTCGACGGATAATCGCAATGCTAAAATAAACAACGCCGCTGGGAATTTTTCCGATGTTTTCTTTCGCGCCGCTCAATACTCGCGAGCGAATTCCCGCGAGCACTGGACAGAGAAATGTGAAAACAATATCAATCAAGGTAAAAAACATGAAAGCAAAAATCCCCGACAAAATCCGCAATCGCATGAGGAATGTTCAACGGAGCGAATCGGATCGCTCGTTTCTCAGGCAAGGGGGAAATTATCGCCGATATTATTATCGTTTTCACGCGAATTTCCCGCGGTTACTCGTACGACAATCAAAAGCGAACGACAATAACGATTGATGATAACAGTAACGACGGGCGCATTGGGGTGCAATTTCGATCATCGACTTACGGGTCATCGCGACAGAGGCAACAGCTACCCCCCGATGCTCCGGCTGCGCGTTCGTCCCTTCGCGAGAGCTGCGACGTCTTCGTGATTTCGTGACCGACACGTTGCCAATGTGCGAACGTCGTTGGATTGGTAATCAGCGCACGCCGAATGATGTATTTGTCAAATGTGCCACAGATACGAGAGTCGCATCGTGATAAGGTTTGCGTTACCGATCTTCTCTTTTCTCTCTCTCTCTCTCTCTTTTCTCTCTCTCTCCTCATCGCGCGCGCAGTCGATCCCCCGCGATCTTGAGGGTCCGCGTGCGCACGCGCCCCCATCGAATGCGGCGGCTGTGCCTTCGCAATATCCGCGAGTCGGGGGATGATTTGCGTAGCGCGACGCGGGGGCACAAATAGCCGCGTTCTCTCGTGGTGCCGTCTGCGTCCTGCCGCGCGCATTTTTCAACAAGACCGACGCGCGCGCGCGGCCGGTCGAATTACGCAAAGACTGGCCGCGGTTTTGCCGGGAAGCAGCGTAATGCTGCTCGTTTATCTTGAGATTAAATCCAGGCCCTGAGAGGAGTACGACTCGTGGTGGTTGGTTCTCGCCGCGAAGGGTAGAGCAGGGTGGGATAACGTATCGTGCAACGAGACCCATGTGCCCGTCCGCGGACGCCGAGGTGTGCAATCTCGTAATGCGGCGGCGGTGACGACGGCCTGAAGTGCGTTCGTTAATGAACAGCGGGAAAAGAATGCATCGCGTCGGACGACGACGTGCAAATGCGACGGCGAGTGGCCGACGACTGGCAGGTGCATTATTCATGCCGGGCGTTTTGTAAGTCGGATTGCGCCGGCCCGGCTCGTAACTCTCGCGAAGGGTGTGCGTGGAGGAGATCACGTTCGCCCCCGCGTCCCGGTTCCGCCGCTCCCACTTCTCCCGCCCTTGTAGATGCCGGCGAAAGCTGTAAAGCCGGACGGCGACGACGACACAACGATATTCTCTCGTGCATTATTTAGGAGTGTCGCGAAGAAATGGGCCGTATGTGCGCCGTATCCCGCGCGATGGAATACAAGCATCTTATCCGGAGCGAGATGAACGGGGATGCAGAGGGCGGAATCGGCTCAAGCTCTCTTGTCGATCAAAGGGTGCGATTTCGCCGAGCTATATGGCGCACAGCATGGGGCGGCAAGAATATATCGGGTGAAAATGAGGGGGAGGGCAGGGGATGGAGGTTAACGTCCGCGGGAGGAATCCGCCGGGAGAAATGGAAACCATTACGGAAATCTGAGGAATGTGCTTTATAAATCTATTCCACTTCACGCAACGGTACATCGCGAAGGTGTCTCTTACTGATGTGTTTCCTTGCCGCGTAATCGAGCGTGGTGGAACGTGATGAGGGAGAAGACGAAGAGAGAGAGAGAGAGAAGTCAGGAAAAAGTAAATTTTTCGGAAGCAGAAGGCGGATCTAAAATCGTATATTTCCCGAGAGACAAAGCTACCCGATGTGCAGAGAGGAAGGAGGCGAGAGAAAAAGAGAAAGAGAGAGAAATAGAGAAAGAACGAGAAGGAGAGTCAAGCTGTGCGTCCGGTAAAGCTGTGTTTCCTTTCCCACTTTATCAGAACGACACGTACGCGTGCCTGTGCAGTTTTACGACGTCATCGTGTACTAAACTGCCGTATAAATCCCCGTTTTTGGACTCCTGAAAGATTATTTCCTGGCGCGAGACGTGACGCGATTCTATAATAATCCTACGACGACCGACGGCGACGCCGTCTCTTATATTGAAATATTCTTGTGACGTGAGCGCGGATAATTTTAATCCTCCTGTTCCTTACGCCAAGATTAATCAAAGACACACAGATGACGTAAGCGACATTTACAATAACCTTTCCCGTGTCTGTACGCGATGCAATTCCCTCGTAACACGCGCCGAATAAATGTACGGGGGAGGGCGGGCGTTATACAAATACATCGCGAACAAGCAGAAACTGCGGGACCGCCGTCGCCTCGCGTACTCCCCCCTTGGAGAAGGAACACAATTTCCAAAGTACTTCTTCGCGAGCGACTGGCCGCCTACGTGCGCCCATTCAGGTCGCATTTACGTTCCATAAATTTGTTCTACGTGTACGAAATTGCCGCGCCGCGGAGCGCGTTTCCGTCGCGCGAGAGAGAAAGAACAAATGCGAGCGGGAGAATGAGATGGAAAGAGAGAAGCGTCGTGCGCCCCGACGAAGGCGCGCGCGCGACGACGCGGCCCGCGGTAAGTAGATCAGGAACGAACGGTGGCAGACGCGCGGTGGCGATAGCGCGTCGGACTTCTCCATTTCCGGAGCGGGTCCGCGGTTAATCGCCGCGAGGTATAATCAACGCGCTCCGTTCACCAATACCACACAACGCCTCTCATTCGCGCGCAGTAGTTAACACCCCGGATCGAAGCTGCACACACACATACACGATATCGAGAAGTCGGAACAATCCCGTCATTATCGATGTGAAACTACGCGAACTCCTCGCATCCTCGTAGTCGGGAGTAGTTAGCGCGCTTTTCCGTTAGCGTGACTTTGATGAGACACGCGTTGAGATCGGCCAACTAAGACCAATCTTTCGGAGTAAATTATCCGACAAACGGCGGTGACTGCAAACCGATTGCATCGATATGGCGATCGATAAGCTGGCCAACCGCGCAACGACCGAGGCCGAGCTCCACATTGATAATCCGATTTGATCGGCGCTTCGGATTTTCCGCTCGCGCACCGTCGCTTCCGGAATTGATCATGTCTTGGCGAAGAGACACGGCCTCGTCGTTATCAGCGAGATCGTTCTTTAAACATTCTATCGCGCGCCCGACATTTCTGCGCATCGTCTTAGTCAATTCACGAGTGCGAGAGAAATCGCTGACGTTTGGAGGACCGATGCCCGGGGTTGACCTCGCGACTTACTTCGACCGAAAATGGAAGCTTTTCGGGAAGAACACTCCGCTGGGAACGAAGAAAAAGAGAGAAAGAGAGAGGAAGAAATCATCTCTTCGCTGCCTCGAAAGGGGCAGAGCCCGAGATACTGAGGAAGGGTAAGCCGTGGAATAAACAGTGGTTTATCGGAAGAGAACGTCGCTTGTTCTCGAAAGTTGCTCGAGGCAAGCTCGTGCAGTTGACGTTTCCGCGTTTTACGAACAGATGCGGGAGTCATTCCCAGTTGCCTGTCGCGCAAAACGTCTGGGCGATAAACTCGACCATCTCGTAAATAGTACGCGCGCGTAACAACGCATAAAACGCGCGTCACTCGAGTGAACGACACACGGGCGACGTTGCTCCCGTATCACGAGAGCCTGGCTTTAAAACACGACCGCATCGTGGTGATGCAGCCGCGAGATGAAATCGATAGACACGTCCCTGAACGACGCCACGGCGGAGAAAAGGGGGGAACGCGGAGCCGCCACCGCCGCCGCCGCCGTCGTCGTCGTCGTCGTCGTCGTCGTCACCCTCCTCGTCTTCGTCCCCCGATGACGGAATCATCGAGACGATACGCTGTGATCCCACAGCGACGACGGCGAGAGGACGCGGGCGGATAAAGAGGTGGATGTCGAGAAAGATAACGAGAGTAAGGGATGAGACAGTATGTGTGTATGTGCGTGCATGTGAGGGTGTGAGAGAGAGAGAGAGAAAGAGGGGAGAAAGAGAAAGGGAGATTGGTAGAGATAGGGTGAGAAAGAGACAAAGAGAACGAGTGGAGGGAGGCACAATGCTGCGGCGCGACAAACAAGGGTGGCGCTAGATACGGTCCTGGACCGGGACCGGAGGTTGTCTCCCCCCTCGCGGTCGTCTTCCGTCCTTTTTTCCCTCGTCTATTCTCTCTCTCTCCGCGTATCCTCCGCGATCCTCAGCAGATCTCAGCACCCCCTCCCCACGCTTCGACTCGCGATCGCGATCGCGTCGTACGCGCGTACGGTACGCGCGGCGCGACGGCGGAGACGTATGCACGTACTCTGCTGCTACACCCCAAAATCTGATCGATCCATCCGAGTCCATCCACGGAGCCCCGCCTCCCCGCAATCCTTACGACGGCACATCGACGGCTCGATCGCGACCTGTCTGAGCTGTCTGTCGTGGTGGATCGAGCGATCGACTTTACCAGCATCCATCCCCCACGGGGTCGTCTTCTCTCTCTCACTCTCGTCTGAGCCCTAACCGCACTTGGACACGTCTCTCGCCGCGAGTCGTCATCTGTTCTGCCTCCGTCGTCCCGTGAGATGATCCACGAGATATGAGAGCAATTAAACGAACGTCTCACGACGTTTTCTACGACGGTGAGCGTCCGGTGGGCGTCCGACCACGACCGAGTCTTACCGGTAATGCCTAGTAGGATCCAGCACACGAGGCACAGGATATAGTAGTTGACGTAGGAGGACCGCCTCATGGTGATCACAACGACAGCGACGACAACGACGGCGACGACGGCGTGGCGACTGTTCGCGACGGATCCACTGACATCTCATGGAACAGCGGCACGCGGCAGCTGGAGCCAGCCGGTGGTGCACCTTCTTCGCGGCGCACCTCCACCTAAATCTCCGTCGTCGTCCGCGCGCTCATCCCCCGGCCGCGACCGGTGCTACCAGGACTCGCGCATACTCTTCCCGAGAGCGAGCAGCGACGGCGGCGGCGGCGGCGGTGGCGGCGACGGTGGCGGCGGTCGCACTCTTCTCCTCGTCCTCGTCGCAGCCCTCTTTTCGTTCTCTCGTCGTTTCGCGCACCTCCGCCGATCTTCTCGCGCTCTCCCTTCCCCGCTTCTCCGGCGATACACTGATATCACATTATCTCGCTGCCGTCGGGTTATCTCGCGCGCGCGGATTTCTTCACCGTGACGCAAGCAAGCGGCGGACCGAGTACCCTCGTTCTCCTCCACGTATCCGAGTTACTCCGCCGAGATGTTGCTTAGGAGAGCTTCACACACACTGCGTAGCCCCGTGAGTGTGTGTCCCCGTAATAGGGGACACCTAACGCTCGCTTCCCTCTGTTACTCGCGAGGAAGACGTCAAGGAAGACGTGCACCAACGCGCGAAGGTCACGCGAAACGACTCCGCGATCTGCTGCGATCTCTCCGTACTCTTTCTATCGTCGACGTTCACTCTCTCGTTCGGCCCTCAGCCTCTCTTGCTCTCCCGTTGCAACCCTCTCTCGGACACTACTACTGTCCACTGGTAGAAGATCGGTCGGTCGGTAGTACGCGCGACCGGGTTTCCCGCACTCGGCTCGTCCGCGGTTCGTCGTCCCGGGCGAAGCTCTGAAACCGCCGGGCCTCCGGTGGCACTGCCCGCGCCCGCCCGGGGATTCCGCGCAGGCGTGCTCTCTCTCCTCTACTCCGGCGATCAGTCAGCCTCCTCCTTCCTTCTGCCTTTTCCGCCGACACCGCCGCCGCCGCCGCCGCCGCCGCTGCTGCCGCCTTCCAACCCCCAGCGCTTCGGCTTTACGCGCTCCGCTTCGCTCCGCGCTACACCCGCTCCGAATCTTTCTTTCCGCTCTTCGTGTCCTCGTCGCCTTCGTCTTTCATCCGTTCCTCCATTCCTTTCTCTTCTTCCCTGCAACCTCGGCCGTTCTTCTGTCGCTGTCGCCGTCGTCGCCGTTTCCTCGTGCGCTTTCTCTCGTCGCGGCGACATCCGCGCACGAATTTCACGCTTCTTACGCGACGGGTTCGCCGTCTCCCCCCGCGTGGCTCGCGCGATGAGGCGGTCGAATGACGTGGGCCCGGATTCACTGGGTCCTCTCGCCACCGTGTTCTACGTTCGACCTGAAACTTTAAACGTCGCAAATCTCATTCGCGCGAGCCCCCTCTTGAACAGCAGCGTCGCCGCGCGCGCGATCATCCGCTCGCGTTAATGATCGTTAAAGAGCTCCGAGGCGCTTTAACGGCCCCGTTACCTTTATCTCTGTACGGCGTTTTCTCTCTTCCGAGTTTCTCCGGGCAATTTCGAATATCACACGGCTCTCTTGTTCCCATCTACCTCCCTCTTCGCGCACTCACCCCCTTCTCTCTCCTTCTCTCTGCCTGCTTCTCTCTCGCCTCTTCTCTTTCTCTCTCTCGTGTGCGCCATAACGCGCAGATTTCAACCGCAGCGGTCTCATCTAAATGAATTCTCCCGAGTCCCTTCCGGGTTCCCGGGTTCCTTAATCTTTCGCGAACGTATATCTGATGTTTAAACCTTAGACGCGCGAGTTTCCACGCCGATATTTATACGATCTAAAAACTTCCACGTTTCGGACTAACTTCTCCGCAGCGCGAGGGAAGTGACGAGCGGAGGAACCTTCCTCCCATCTTCTCCCCGCGTTTTATTGGACCACGACACTGAGAATGCCGCACGTGTTATCGACCCATCGATCGTTTTTGCTAATAATTTCGCACTATCACGCGCCTCTCAGCTGCCCTTTAACACTCGCGTCGTCGAAAAAAAGGAAAAGATGCATAACCTTTACAACTGCTCGCGATGAACCGCGTCGAGATTACGAGAGATGGTCTATCAACGTGACGATACGACACACGCCTTTCTGCGCACACGGGGCAACGATAATAGTAATAATAACATCGGACAAATCCCATTTATCACGCACGCGTCCTCGGGAATATAATTGCGCCGCGCGCGCTTCCGGGAGATTAAATCTCCGGGCGGACGCGATCGTACGTGCGCGCGAGCGCGCGTACGTCGAATAATGTTTTTCAAGTATTATAGCCCGGGCACCCATGCAATATGCAACGTTGAAATTGAGGTAGACCGCAGCGAAACGGCGGAAATGTATCCGGTGTCCCTCGCCTCTCGCGAGGAGCTCATCTCACTTCGCCGTGAACAAATGTTAAGCCGCTTTACGGTATAAATCTTATCCCCCCGGTGACTGATGTGCTTGGTGGGCTCGGCCGTTTAATAGGGAAAAAAAGCAGGGCGAGAGAAAAGGAGACCACCGACGGTCGTCTCCTTTGTTCGCGGTCGCCTCGAGCGCACAACGGACCATTCTGTATCAGCGTTCTCGCTCTTCGAGACATTTGCACAATACACGATCTCGTCCCAGATCTCTCGTTCCTACACCTTCGCTTACTTAACCGACGCTGCTTAATAATATTAACCTTTTCCATGGGCTTTTCGCCGCGTCCCGATTGACGTCCATTATCTCGCGCGACTCACGGCGAAAAAGCAAGGAACACCCTTCCGCGCGATGTTATCCGGGCCGAGCATCCGCGCTTCGTCTGCGCGTCAGCCTCCGCCTCGTCGTCTCCGAGGGGGGTGAGTCTTCACTCGAGTTCTCGCGAGCCCGCCAACCCGGGACGGAATTCGTGCGAGCACGAACGGTATTTCGCAAATTACGTAACTTTGCTCGTCGGACGATCGGCCGATCTTCACCGCGATACACTTTTCCGCCCCCTTTTGCTTATCTCGCGCACATGCCGGGAAACTAACTCGACTCGCTGCGAAAGGGTGTCTCGCGCGAAGTGTCAACCAGCGATACTCTCTCGTCATCTCGTCCGAGTGAAATGTTGAGCTACTCGAGTCGAAATTTATATTCCAGTCTCAACATTTAACTTCTACTTTGATACGCTGAAGCCTTCGACGATCTCTTTTGATTCTGTACGGAAAAAGAAATACTTAAAGTTTTATTTGTGGGATGTAATACTTATTTCTGTGAAATAAAGTTTACTTCTGTGCGTCACATCCCATAAATAAATTTTCAAATATATCTTTTCTTAATATATTTAACCTACTATCTATTCCGCGAAATTCTTTTTTAGAACCTACATTTAGTGCATTTCTTGCTATTTAGAGACGCTAGATGTCAATTTCCATGTGTATTAACCTTTCGAATGCACTGGTGGAAATCGACTTGCACCGTCAATTTCCCTAAAAAATGCCTCTTTTAGAATACAATCGAATATAAATCGTTTTTGCATTCTTTTGTTAGGAACTAAACTCGACTGCACTCTTTTTGATCTTTTCTTATATATATATATATAAATATAAAATGAAGTTTATTGATTCGGAGCTGAATTGCAAGTTAGCGAAAATCGTTGGTACAAATTTGCAGTTGTGTGCCCTCAGTGTGCTCCGCCAGATGCGTCAGGTACGATCGCAGGGCTAAACAGACACTGATCCTTTAGAACAAAGATGCTAGAGAAACTTCAAGTAGAAAGTAGGGTCAAAATTTCGACTCGGGTGTACAAGCACGTTTCATCGGCTAAACCTTCTCCACTTCAGAAGAACTCAAGGGGGAAGAAGAGGGAGAGTTAAGATCCCGTTCGCTTGAACGGGAGCGCGGCGACGCAGGTAAACTTTTTCGACGGGGTCAAATACCGGCGCGCTCCGGGATCGTTCCCGATCGACAACAGACGATGGGATATCGGCCTATCCCCGTCCGTCTGTGCGTCCATCCACCCGCTTGCGCGTCTCTTCCCCGGCACCTCACCTTCAGACAACTCGAAGGGTCGTGTCACCGTGGCGAGTCCTACGCTCTTTTCACGGCGCATCGACCTGGCCATGGGATAACGTTAACCTCTTCTCCGTGGCTTACAGCCGATAAACTTCGCTCACCGACAGGCCCCGCAAAAAGCACGCGGCACGCACACACACTCCCTCTCTCTGTCTGTCTCTCCTTGACACGAGTCGATTATTCATTTTTTATCAGACGCGTCTTTCGCCCCGGATCTTGGCTCCCTCGCGCCTCGGTCGCGGCTTCTCCTCCGTTTGCGTGTTTTATCGTCCGGAGAGTTGCGCTGAAACTTTCAGACGCGCGCGACGCTAAATTCGTAGTGCCCCGTGTCGTGTCCCCGCGACAGAGAGAGAGAGAGAGAGAATCCGCGTACGCGTTCGCCACGGTGAGCGCAGGGCCCGTGAGGACCATTAATAAAACGTCATTTACTACTAAACGATTTCCCGACTTTTCCGGGCGCGCATGGAGCGAGCGAGCGAACGGTTCGTTCACGGCAATTCCAACGTCGCGAGGGTAGCAAGAGGCTGCGTGTACATGATTCAAATTCCCGGTACTCCAAAGTTACCGGGGGGAAACGTCCTCGTCGCCGGCACTACGCCGCCTCCGCCGCCGCCGCCGCAGTCGCCCCCGCGGGCTGCACTCGTCCTTCTGGCTGTAGGTAGTTTCGTTTGCATGCGGCGCAACGCGCGGGGGCTCGCCAAGGGTTCTTAAGTGTGTGTGAAGACTTCGGAGGCTTGCAGCGCATCGCGCATTGCAAGGAGAGAAAAAAGTTTTCTGAAATATGAGCGTAAGCGTCACACGCAGCTGCAGGTGCATCCGACTGCATACTGTCGCACCGCGGAGGCGGCGGGTCTCACCCCTTCCGTTCCCGCAGCTCTCGTCGCGGCTCGCTGATATTCCCTTCGATCTCGCGAGCGTATTCGCGATTGATAACGCTGTCGACACAGTGCTGGTAACGTTCCTGGATGCTTCTCTCTCTCTCTCTCTCTCTCTCTCTCTCTCTTCCTCTCCTCCATACATCCTCACCCCCTCTCTATCTATCTATCTATCTATCTGTCTGTCTATCTACCGGAGCGTTCGATAACTGTTGCGAGCGATTTTCGCGCACATCGTAGGTGCACCGAAAACATTATTGACAACCGCGTCGCGCGGCGGACGGAAATATCGCGAGACTGCAGCGGTGCATTCGGGCGCGAGAGATTTTCTAATTTTCGCGGGAGGTCGTTTCACGCGTCCCCGTCGCGGCGGAAACAACAGTCGAGCCAACCAGCCAGTCGGTCGGCCAGCCAACCAACCAACCAACCAACCAACCAATCGACCGACCGACCGACCGACTGCTCTCGTTGTTACGTTACGCGTCGAAAACGCATTCGCGCGCGTCAGTTAAACGAGCGCGGTCGGTGGATTCTGCCGACGAGTCGTCGGATCGCTTTTTGCACATGAATATCTCCGCTGGTCCTCGCGCTGTTGTTACCGCGGCGGCGGTCTGCGGAGTTTTATCCGTCAGTCGAGGTTGAGGTTTTATCCTACTACGGCCTCTCAGATAATTGAGGGCGTTACGAGGCGCACGTGATTCCGGGGGGTAATTGGATAACGCGTGGCGGGACGCGAAACTTTTGATGCACTTTGCGCGCCCCCTTTCCTCCCTTCCCCCTCCCCCCGAGCGACGTTGCATCCTCCTTCCCTTTCTTCTTGCCTTTGTTCGTTCTTCGCCTGCTCACCTCCGCCGTCCTCCTTCGCCTATCCATCTCCGCGGAAAGTTAATTTGTAGAAGGCTCGTGGAACACGTAGTAGAATAAATACATTCTTCCGTTTAACGGCGCGACTCGTGCAGGCACGCCATATCGGTGTCGTTTGTCATGCACGAAGC